GCTAGTACTTTTGGCTGGATTGGCAAGGGAGAAAGAGGAGGAGAAGGAGGAGGAGGAGGAGGTGCTGTTTCACCTCATTCGTTTTCTCTTCTTCCACGCTTTCCACATCGTACTTCCCCACACTCCATGTGATCACCACCTCTTTCTCCCCATAGGCGGGATAGAATGATCAGCTGAAGTGAGGTGAGGATATGTGTAATTGCTACGTCGAGATCCATACAATCTATGTCTGTGGTGTTCATACTTGCGTTGTCTCGTGGACAAAGTTTTGGGGATTGTATTTGGGATCTTTCATTTTAGCTTAAACCCTTCATATTCGTTTTATTTATTTATATGAAAGCGCGAAAAACTTATTTGATAACTATACCTTAATTCTTCCTGATTTCCGTTGGCGAAAATTATCTGTCCTCTCAAGATAATCGATCCTTTTGCGAGTTTTGGCCTTCCTTAGCTGTTTAATAACCCCTTTACCTCACCTTTCGGATCACTGTTATGGCTTGGTTAAGGATGCTTGCTACGGGCCAGTATGTCATATCACAAATTTTAATCCAGTTCGCAGTTGGCATTTTGGTCAGTTTATTTCATTTGGTGCAAACAGAAATTGAAAGCGTTGCATGCTCATTTATTCCAGATCCTCGCTTAGAAACGGGTTGGACCCACCATTGAGGAGCCAGTTCAACATTTTGTCCAGTGAGGAGATTGCCAAAAATCCTCTCTTACCATGCCTCGTCTACGACGCCGTCTACATTCTCAGGTTAATTGGTGCGTTTCTGGACCCTGACTACTATAATTTTAGCTGATTTTGAGTCTTGCATAGCACTGTCTTCATAGTGTTAGGCATGTTACCGTATGCAACCACGCTATACCCGTGGAATTTGTAAACTTTTAAAGCCTTTCTGCATGGACGTTGGATGAATTTGAATCACATGAGCACTTTGGAATATTCGCACCATTTCTTTGTCGGTCCCATCCTTCGTTTATTTTTCTAAGTTAAGGATGTAAGTGGGTTTCGTTTTATTTTTGGCTGCAGATGGAATCATTGCACCCGACCTATTAAATAGGCGTTGACAACAGCTTTCGTCCGAACCTGATAATACTGTGAGGTATTTCTAACGACATTAGCAGTTGTCGCCTGCTAGAAGGGCATATGACAAATTTACGCTGAAAAATGGAAATCGGAAGCGTGACGGCTATAGATTAAAACGTGATAGATGACTTTTCTAATGGTCAATTGAGGAATGGATCCAAAATTAAGTGTCCCATAACTTCTCTTGCTCTTCCGAGGCAGCCGTTGCAATGAATTTCTTAAGTTTAGGATCTTTTCCATCCCAAGCGGGTTTGCTTTAGCAGTCTCTTTGGAACAACACATTTACATCCTGATATCATGGTGGTCTTCAGATTCTCATTATCTACTGCATGATGTTTTGACGTTGCCAAAATTCATTGATGTTTTTATACTTCCTCTACTTTGAGCAAGGCTTCAGCTTTTTATCGCTGTTGACTTATTCGGATGTAGCACTCTTCCTTTAATCCGCTAAAAGTTTACAGAAGCACGAATTGGATCATGCGAGGTCGAAGTGTCTGGGTGGCTGAAGAATATTCCTTTGCTTAGCTCCACTCCTTTTAAGCGTAGGGTTTGGGTGAGAGGGGAAAACCGAAATTCAAGGCTTTAAAGTGCTGGCTCATCATCTCCACTATCACGCAGTTACCGACTCATCGGATGCTCTCTCCCACGACACTGAAGTTGGATTTATTAAACGTTCAGAGAGGATGTGGAAGACGGTTAGCTCAGGTGATGATCTTGGGGACCTATGATTATCTCCATGGCTAATTACCATTCGGTTCTCTAGTAACTTGTAAACTTCGCCTTTGAGCTCCACAGGTGTTCGAGTCTGGATCCACGTGAGATAACGGAAAGGTAAAACAATTTGTTACAGGTTTATGTAGTTAGTTCTTTGTCTTCATTATCTTTCAGTTCGCTTACCCGCCCTCATCAATCAAATGTCACTGACAAAGTGCCGTCGATCAATTGTGCTGCGCCATCTCTACCTCTTCATTGCCTACCTCGACGAGACACGCGAATTCTGGTTCACTTCTACACGCCCAGCTCTGGCCGCACCCGTCCTCTCCTCTGCATCCACGTCCACATCTACTGATGCTACGACCATTCCCCACGGTGTGAAGCGTATGGAACCGCGCTCCGGGCCCTCCACCGCTAATGCCATCAACACTGGTGCTACTTCTCCGGCAATTTGCAGTGTGCCCAAGAAGCGACGCAGGACTATGAGCTCTGAGCCTGTATCCAAGACGTCAATGCCACCTCCATCATCACCACCACCGCCTTCGTTGTCATCACTCACCTCTAGTGAGTTATCGCTTGGACGTTTGGGGTTAAGTGTCCTGTTATCATCTTAGTAGAATGCTATATTGGTTACGAACATGCAGAAAACAGTTTGTAATAAATGTTTTGCAGCTCCGAAGGCTTGTATGAGAGTGCTCTTCAACCGAAGCTCCTAGTTCAAACCCTGTTTTATATTGGTTACTGTCAAGTGAGTACGAATGAGTTTTTTTCTCGCATAATTGGTTTAATCGAGCTTCTTGATGAGGAATTACGATGGGTGCGTTTGACTTGCGTTTAGTC